AAACACTATCCTACAATAAGTTACTCATTCCTTGATTAGTTCAGAGAGTGTCATCTATAACTATGACCGAAGGTGATGTGAGTTTCAACTTCATACACGTCACAATTTCCGAAAAGATTAAAGGCAAAACCAAACACTGCAACCTCTCCTTAACTATATCTCATTTAGCGTCTTGATTTGGATACTAAGTATGTATCGCTACAATCTCACAAATCGGAACAAAATTTCAGTTCAATATATCTTAGCGTACGATTCAATACTAGCTATATTTACATCCGTTGTGAATATTACTTTCAATCAGTAATAAGTAGTATAGATAAATAGGGTGCAATAGTTCTATGATTAACTAATTATTACTTATAGATCTTAATTTTTTAAATTTTATACAGAATATGAAAACCCAGTAAAATACAGTGAACTCATATCACATTCAATGCCTTGTTTAATGTAGAAGTTGATTCACATATTTCACATTTCCTAAGGGATTTGATTTTGTCAAAATGATTACTGTCATTCAAGACAAAATTACTCTGTCAAGGTGTGGATATGGTTTGGACACTACCCACATGAATTCATCTGTCACACTAAACTGCTAATCAGGCCTTTCTGTTCAGGCTGTACTTGACCGTAAACACTGTCATATTTCAACTCCTAATGTGATCATATTTTGCTATTATTTGTGAGGAAATGAAATATGTGGACCACCTTCGCAATTAAGAAGAGAGTGCTTGACATTCAATCTGAATACACCATGATTCGTGCTTATTAAGTGATTTACATCGGCCGCTGACCAGCATTCACTAGTCTAATCTGCCCTGGGTCTTCGTTTCCAAGTCTATTCAATTTCTGCTCATTCTTCTTACGTCAGTCTGCATTTCTCGGCGTAATGTGTTACTTGAATTTTCTCTTTTCCTTTGGACCTAAGGGCTTGCTTTGTGACTCCTTCAGGAGCTTTCCCTAGTAGGTGCCCTGTCTACCTACAGCTCTTCTTCTTGATTTCTTCGCCTGACAAAATCCTGTTTTTTATCTCTCACAGTCGGTTGTTGCTGATGGTTTCTGTCCAATGAATCCTTAGCGTCTTGCATAGACAACTGTTCGCAAACAACTGTATCTTTTGGATTATGGCTTTGGTAGTTCTCCAGGTTTCCGCCCCATATAGTGGGACTGCTTTGACATTTGTATTGAAAGCTGTGACTTTGGTGTTGGTTGATAGCTGTTTTGAATCCCAGATTTTTTAAATTATAGAAATGCTGCCTTCACCTAACTAATCTGTGACTTTGAATCTGCAACAGATCTACCGCGCTCATCACTGATGCTGTTCATATATGTAAACGTTTTTACATCTGTAGTGACTAAACTTTTACGAAGGAAACGCGATTGGTTAAAAAGAAAAACATTCTATATTATAACCAATTATCCAGGTGATTGGTTTAATGAACTTCTTGTTTATTAACACTTTGGTACTCGGACATTCCACTTGATTGGTTGCTTATACTGCTGGTTATATCTTAGCCGATATTCTTTGGCACGACTTTGATATTCTTTCGATACCACTTAATTGCCAGAAAATGTAGTTCTCCATCTGGATTATATCTTCTTCCTTGTCTTTTGTTCACTACGGGATAACAATTAGAGGTGGGAACGTAATTGGTTTGTAGTGGTGTACATAGTCAACCCAACTCGACACACACCTAAACATCTTCCGAAGCTTCATGATCAAGTGTGATCTGGTTTGTGCATGTTGTGTTATATCGGGGAATTTCGCTTTTTCCTTTGTGAATGTTGAAACCTACTGCTACTGAGGCTGCTGCAGAACTCTTGATAATCTTTCAGAAGTTCAGTAGATGAGAAACCAGTACAATACACTGAACTCAAGTGCCGTTATATTTAGAAGTTGATTTACATATTTCACACCAAGTGATCTGATTTGTTGAAATTAAAATCCTCAATACACTTTTGTCATATTGGATGTACAGACATTTTGGAAGCCAGACTATAAAATGACATAAGGCAAACAACCTTTGGGAAATCTTCATATTTCTAACTCTAACCAGTTCTCAGTATTGGGTAACTTTCGTACACTGGACACTAGTGAAATTCACTTGTCACAGTGTCTTATTTTAACCGCTAGTAGGGCCATACACTATCGCATATCGATTAGATTGTTAGGAACCTGAGTACTCATTTCGAGACCAAACTATCTTGTGTTCCAATCCTCGATCAGAAAGTAGATTCGCACTACTAAGAAGCATCATCTTAGGTACTTACTGATTTTAAAAGTTGTTTAACAGGGAATATAATGTATTACATGTTTAAAGTGCAAGCAATCTCTGTTATTAGTCTGAAAAATACTGGTCAATCAATCAATCAGTCAATCAATAGCAACGTAGAACTTCGTACATACGTACATCACTTCATGTTGCCATACCACATTAGCACAGAGATGTAATTGTCAATTCGAATCCAATAGAAGCAGAGGTAGTAAAGGTATTAGCAGTAGTCGGAGAGGTTAGGATTAGAAGATTTTATTCAAGAAGTAGAATCTAGTGAAATAGACTTAAAAAAATAAGGATAAAATGATGAAGTATACTGGTCGTCTGCAAATTCTCCTTTGGGAGTAACGGGCGTAAGTAAGTAATCTGTATGAACCCATCTGATATATATATATCTTTTTAATGAAAAATAATTAAATTTATTTAACTTTAGACAAAGTTGATTTTTGTTCGTAATATAATAATCAAAAATTACTTTTATCAAACATAGTTCCAAATATAATCAGCATGATAGATCTTTCAAAGAAAGTTCAAACTACAGAATGGGTAGACTTAATTAAATGGGTAACTTGTAGATTACATTTTACTAGAAAATGTTTTAGAACATAGAAACAGAACAGTTTTGTTACGTGGTAGTATACAACCTATCGACAGTGCCGAAAAATGATCCCGAATGTGATAGGTTTGCCAAAATCGACAGCATCTTTATGGCAGTCGTGTGAATGTGATGGAGATGAGGATGTAGAGTGTTTTATTCTTTGCCTGAAACTAGAAACAGATCTGTTTCTTTTTAGTGAACAATAAAAGTATTGGTTACGAGTGTCATATGTATTTATTCCGAAAATTTCAAAAATAAATTCACATAGCACATGAAAGAAAATGATTTAATCAATTTTAAAATCAATCTAACATTGTGCTACTTGTGATGAAAAGTGATTTGGGAAAAACTGAATGACTACACGGTGAAGTTATGGATTGCTGAAGTCAGTGAAATATGAAGTACGTAGTTAAAATTGAACATTCCTGTTACACCTGCACATCAACACGTCATTTTGATATGCTTGAACCTTACCTTAGTCAGTAAACAAAAGCGAGGATCGATGATCCGGCGACACGACAGGCTACTCTAATCTAAGTGCCCCAAACCCCCATTAAAAGAAGAAGAAGAATTGATATGAAGTAGAACGTGTATTCTAAAAGCATCCAGAACGTACGAGGTCCGAGTCCAGAAGAGAATCAGGATCCCGGACTAGGGATCTGTGTCCGGGTCAGGGTCGTGAAAAGTTACAGATAATGCGTATTTATACAGTTAGGTCGAATAAGAAACAACACTGAAGTCTGTGACATTGATAGTTAGGATGACCAATAGGAATTGACCAATAGAATTAGACTCGTAGGATATTGGGTGAATATCCTAACAATTCCACCAGTGAAAAATGTTCACAAGTCCTAGCAACACGAATGCTAAAGTAATTCTGAAATAATTTATTGTTTTTCTTTCGTTTCGTGATAGACCAATGTTCAAAGTAGTTTGTGTATACTTCTTTATCTACACACATCTCAAACTATCATAGTTTCTTAAGCACACTTGTTTATTTCATTGTCAAACTACATTATGTTCTGATGGGATTTTAAAAAATCATTGCAATTCTCATGTGATTGTCTGTTGAAGAAAACAGAAATAGATATCTATCAAGTTTAGTAGCCAGACAATCATAGCAGTTCTCTATCCATACAATTCTAGCCATTTGGCCACCATACTATTTTCATGTAGAATTTCAAAATAATATTTTACTAAAATGAAGCTCCAGACAAAGTTTTAGGTCATTTCTTTTTCAAACGATAAAATTTACCTGTGTAAGTTTTTGTCAAGGCATTCAATCTGTCCCTTCTTTTCTTCAACATCATCACCAACCGTATCAAAACTGATATGTCTAAAAAGTTGCAAAGGATTACATTTGTTTTCAGCTGGAAAAAGTTTTGAGAACTTAACTGTTGTGGCAGCAATAGAAAAATTTATTACTGATATCTTCGAAATTCACTACAAAGGAAATTGGAAGTGTGAAATCGCTGAAAATGTAAAAAGATATGTATATACTTGGTATAATAATAATGCAAAACAGTGGTTCCCTTTGATAAATTTGAATAGAGAAATAAGAAGACATATTTTGTGAGATAGTACCATTTCGTGCTTTCTCGTCAGTCACATACAAGCAAACATCTAATGATGAGTGGTCATCAAATTGATCCAAAATCAGCCTTTAGAGTTGTGACATGTAATCAAAACCCACACACACTAAAACTACTTGAAGCTATCTTGATTGGTCGTAAAAGTCCAACTTTATGTGTTCAAAAACAACTGTATGTTGACCTTTGTTTACCATGGTTCTAGTGAGTGAATGTCATGCTAAATAAGAAATTTTGACCTTATCTTCAAAACTGTATTTACACAAATAACATGTTGCTTGTATGTGACTGACGAGAAAGCACGAAATGGTACTATCTCACAAAATATGTCTTCTTATTTCTCTATTCAAATAATAATAATGCATGAAAAAAGTATAGCAGTACTTGAGTCTGAAATCATCATCGTACAAATATAAATTTGAAAGTACTGTCAGGGCTGTTTTACGTGACGAAGAGATACTAAATAAACTGTATTATTCAATAGTATTTTCTTAAATCCAGTCAGATATAAGAAACTATTCAAATCTTTCAAAGCCCAGAGTTATTCCTGATTGGTTCATCGATCAAGTATGGATTCATCACGCGTTACATACATCATATTGTACATATCAATATTGATAATGTGTTCGATGTCATTTTGTCACTGACACTGACGTGATTCTACTCGTGATATACGAATTTCATAATACACCGTAAATGAAGTCATTAGAACAATAAACCTGCAATTTCGATGTGTCAGGCTGACAGGTAGTAGGTTGGACGAAGACAGACTTGTATCTTGTATGAAGGATATGAGTGAAAGCAGAACAACTTTTGTACATCGATTTACTTTATTTAGATGAAATCTATGTTTTCCTATGGCAAAGTAAATAGGATACAAATATGCAGTGAAAAAGAAAGGAGACAATTATGAAGAGGCGTCTCAGTTTTTACTGTTGTCACCGTTAAATTGGTTTTGATATTATGAAAACAGAAAATATTGAAACGCTTT